AATTTTTTATTTTTATTTTATGTGTGTGAATGTTTTTCCTGTATTTACGAAAGTAAAACATGCATACAATGCCTGTGGAGGCCAGAAGAAAGCATTGGATGCCCTGGAACTGGAGTGTGTGCTGAGAACTGAACCTGGGGCCTCTGCAGCAGCAGTCAGTGCTGAGCCATCCCTCCAGCCCCAGATACACAAATTCTTAATAAGGCCAGGCATGGTGATGGCAATCCTTTAATCTCAACACTTGGGAGGCAGAGGCTAGCCTGGGATGGCCTGAGTTCCAGGCCAGCTGGGGCTACATGGAGACCCTGTCTCAAAACAAGACAAAACAAAACAACAAGAAAAACCCAAACCAAAAACAAACAAACAAACAAACAAAAACCTTAAAAATACTTACACATGAAATTAAGCCCACATCAAAAAGATCATCTATCATGGTCAGTTAGACTTCATACCAGAGATGCAGGGATAGTTCAATATACCAAAAATCAATACATATAATCCACCATATAAACAGACTCAAGGACAGAGACCACATGATTGTCTCATTAGATGCAGAAAAGGCTTTTGACAAAATTCAACATCACTTCATGATAACTCATGGAGAATATAAGGATATAGAGGATACATCTCAGCATAGTAAAGAAAATATACAGCAAACCCACAGTCCACATCATACTAAACAAGAGAAAAACTTAAAGCATTTTCACTAAAATCAGGAATGAGAAAAGGATATCCACTGTCTCCCTGTTCAATATGGTGCTTGACATTTAAGCTGAAGCAGTAAGACAAATGAAGGAGATAAATGGAATACAAATTGGAAAGGAAGAAGTCAAAGTATCCTTATTCACAGATGATATGATTCTATACATAAAATGCCTTAAAGACCCCATCAGAAAACTACTTGAGCTGATAAACACATTCATCAAAGTAGCAGGACACAAAATTAACACATAAAATCAGAATCAGGAGCATTCCTATAGAACAACATATTGACACCCTCAAAAACCATATAATATCTTGAAATAAATCTGACCAAAGAAGTAAAAGACCTGTAAAATAAATTTTAAGAAACTGAAGACTATACCAGAAGATGGAAAGACCTCCCATGCTCATGGATAAGTAGGATTAATAGTATGAAAATGGTCATCCTACCAAAAGTAATCTATAGATTCAATGCAAGCCCCATCAAAATCCCAACACAATCCTTCACAGAAAATTGAAAAAAAAATCTAAAATTTCATATGAAAACACAAGGCAACAAGATAGCCAAAACAATTCTGAATAAAAGAAGAAGAACTGGAGGTATCACTATCCTTGATTTCAAATTACCCTACAGCATGGTACTGGCATAAAAACAGACACACTGATCAATGGAATAGCAGTGAGGATCCTGATTCAAGTCTATGTATTTACAACCACCTGATTTTTGACAATGAGGCCAAAAATAAACATTGTAGGAAAAACAGCATCATCAACCATTGGTGCTGGTCAAACTGGATAGTTACATGTAGAACAATGAAACTAGATTCCTATCTCTCACCCTGCACAAAACTCAAATCCAGATGGATCAATAACCCAAACATAAGACCTGATACCCTGAATCTAATAAAGGATGATAAAGTAGAGAACACACTGAAACTTACTGAACTGAACAGAACTCAGATAGCACAGGAATTAAGGTCAACTAATGACAAGTAGGACCTCATGAAAACTAAAAAGATTCTATACAGCAAAGAACACCATCAATATCAAACCCTCTGACAGAGGGTTAGTAGCTAGACTAAACAAAGAACAAAAATTATGTAAAATGTATGAATCACTTCAGAATTTCCCATTCAATATTTCATAGGATAAGTAACTAAAACCATAGAAATCAAACTGTTGGATATGGAGGATAAATTTAATGTAAAACACAGCAAATTCTAGAACATTTTCTTATTCTTGAATTTTTCTAAAATTGAGAACTCATATTATCTTTTAGCAATAGTTTAATAATTTAGTTTTATTTTACACTTTCCCTTATACTAAAATATTTTACCAATCAATATTTTTTTGGAATAGAACTTTTATTATTATAAATTAAATACTGTAGTGTTAACTCTTATATGTGCATTTCCAAAGACTTCATTTTATCTTTTTCAATTGGTATTTTAAATTTACCAATATTTATTACTTTAAATTTTTACCAAATACTTTTAATCTCATTTCAAATATCACATTTGTAACTTTTTAAAATTTATTTTTAAGAATTGCTTTATTTTTAATTATGTGTATATGCATGTGTCTGTGTGTGGTTACATGTATGTGAGTATAGGAAACTATGGAGGCCAGAGGAGGTTGTTGGATCTCTGAAGCAGCTGAGTGGTAGGAACTGAAGTTAAACAATTTTCCACTTTGAAAAATTAATTTCAATTTTTAAATTTTTATTTTTACCTTAGATTCTAATTCTCACTCTATCACTTTCCCAATTCTAGCTGTCTCTCAACACCTAAATCCTTGAATCACAAAACTTTTCAAAACATTTTCTTTCAGTTGTTTCTTAAGGTACTTTCCACCTCAACAAAAAGATCACATGAAATTCTTTAATTCTTTGGAGGCAGTAATGTACTCCAAGAATTTGTACTTTAGCTCCACACCCTTTCTCCACCCAGAGTTATCCTTGGATATCCACAGAATAATGCCTTCAAAGTTGCCTGGCTTAGCTCCTCCCCCTGTAGAGGGGTAAACACTAACACTATTTTTAAAGGATATCATTTCTCTTTATCTGCAAAGTCTGACAGAACAAACCCACTTGATTCAGATAGTCTCAAGATCCTAAAAGGATTGAAGATCATTTCTCCCTCTGTAAACGCATACCTCAGGAAGCACCTAAATAAAAGGTAAAGTACCATTGCTCTCTCTAATAATTTACTTATGTTTTACAAACCTACTCTTCCAAGCATATTTGTTTGGCCAGAGGTTAGCATTCAAATTTACTTGTAACTAAAAAGTTTCTCGGTTTATTTAGGTAAAAATCGTAAATTAAGTAGTAAAAAGAGAAATCTTTTAGTTTTTCATATTTTTTAGCTACTAAGATGAGAATTCTGAAATTTTTCTGCACTTGTTTCCCTTTATATGAATTATGAAGACATTGCATTCACATTTAAGAACTTCCATTAGGACAAATGTCTTTCTGTGTATATATACATACATATATATAAGATGCACTAAACTACACAACTGTATGAATACGATATGTTTATATATCATTCCAAGACTTTTTATTTCAGAGCCTTTTGTTTCTAAAGCCAAAACATTTCCTTTTTTATCAAAGAGCATGGCCAACACCTAAAACAGAGCTAAAAATGATTCCTTTAAATATTTAAACTATTTGTTTTTAAAACAATCAACTCAAAAATTATCTTACCACACTCAATCACTTCAACTTACAAGCTGGACTAACAATTTAAGAAAGATTACTAATGTTTTAGTTCCTATTTAGAAAAGATGAAATATTATAATAGCCTAAGAAATAAATATTTTGTAAGCTTGGTCTTAATTTAGGATTTTAGGTCTTGCACACTAGACTCTGATACTATGCTCTAGTTTTATTTCCAAAGCATTAGTAACTTCAATATTTCTCTTTCATAACTGAGCTTATTTGCAAGTGACAACTATTTCATTTTATCAGGTTTATTTCAAAGGTAAAAGACTTTATCATCTCACTATCCAGCTTTAGAAATATGACAAGAGTATCAAGTTGTTAAAAAAAAGAACTCAATAAATATGTATGTGATTTACCTTATGAAAATACTTTCACAGATGAGAATTATTTCTTCCTGGTCAAATTTATTGCCATGATAATTTTTCTACATCTCACAAATTAAAAGTTTGCTATTTTATTTATTACATATAAAGGTAAAGGCCTGAAGGAAAAGATACTGTAATTTGTACCAATTACTTAGCCCAGAATGTGGTAACAAATGCTTGGGTTTTTTTTCAAAAACCAGAAAGTTAAACACTACATCGGGACATGGAAATTGAGATTCCAGATGCATGAGTTCTTTGTGCCTAATTTTTGAAATCAAAACTGATTGCTAGCTGTCATTCTGTCTCATTTCCCAGAAATAAGAATAATGTTAAATGAATGGTCACTTAGAAGTATCTAAATGAGTACTGTCCAATAGAACTTTCTATAAGAAAATGTTCTAAATCTTTGTATTGACCCACCTGCCAAATGTGGTTACTAATTACCTGAAATGAGATACAGCAACTGAACAACTAAATTTGGAATTTTATATAATCCTAATTAATTTTAGTTTATATGGTAGCTTGTGGTTTGTGTCACTGTATAGCATATGGATTGGATAATGAAATAATTAAATGTTTTCATTTGCAAATGCTTTTGACACAGAGGAAAATAATTTGTCAATAGCAACAAATACAGATCACTAGACCAGAACTAAATCCTAATGACTGCTGTATTAGTATGAACCTTTTAACTACCAACATAAAAAATTAATAAGGTACTAATTTTATTACAGCACAGAGTAAGCCATCCCTTAAGTCTATATAATCCAAGAAATACAGTATCTATAAAGACTGTACTAAAAAATTCAACATCATCAATTATATACATGATTGAAAGAAACAATAGCTCCATTTATATTCTTCACAAGGAAAGACGTAAGTAAACACTGTGTTGGAGAAAGAGACAAGATGCTATAGAACTTTCTTTGAATTTGTCAGAGAAAAGTGAGTGGGGAGACTAATGCAATGTGAAATGCAATGAAAGAGTGATAATCAAAATAGTTTTAAAAAAGACATTCCAGGCACCATAAAAACCAATAAGGCAGATGTGTATTTAGTTGGCAAATTACATTTTCCAAAAAAGACAGTGGATTTATCTGAGTATCATGAAAATCAAACGAAATAAAAGTTGGGCACTTCAGACTACATGAGTTTTCATTCTGATTTTTAAATATCTAATAAATATTAGAAAATTAAAAGGACTTTTAAACCTGGTTGTTTTGAAGTCTCTCAAAGCTGTAGAGATATATTCAGATAAATGTTTTTCCATGAGGGCTACTCTGATCCAGGCTCTACCCTATAAGGAAGAAGAAAGAATCAACAATGAACAAAATTAAGTATTTTGTCGACTATTGTGTAATATATTTATGTATATATATATATAAACAAGAAACAAGTAATTCTAAATAAAGAATAGCTAAGAAAAATATATAAGTATATAAAATAGGTACCCTTTGATTATACAGTGAATATATTTTGTTTTTCAGAATGTATATGCACCAGGGGTAGTAGTGCATGCCTTTAGTCCCAGCACTCGGGAGGCAGAGGCAAGCAGATCTCTGTGAATTTGAGGCCAGTTTGGTATACACAGAGAGTTCCAGCCAGCTGGGACTACAGGGAGACCCTGTCAAAAAGACAAAAGAGAAATGCATACAACATATCAAACTAATGCTCTCTCCTCTGATAAGACTAAATATTTATGAGTCACTTGGGTTAGAGATGTATTTTGAATTGTATAATACATATATATGAAACTCTGCTTCAATACCCCAAGACAATATGTTAATTAAAATGAGTTCCCCCATAAAACATAGAGCAGAGTCCTCTCTCAGTAGACACTCTAACACCACTTGTTTAAGAAAATTTCCTTCCTTCAGAGGGGTGTTTTTATACTATTGACAACAAAATTTAATGCATAAATAATCACAAACCTAAATCATGAGCTATTGAATTCAGAGTCCCTTCATGAGGATTTTAAAATCTGTTACCAAATATGTAAGTAGAAAAAACAAAACAATAATAAAAACTCCAGGGGCTAGGGGTATAGCTCAGTGATAAGAGCACTTGCTCAGGATGCTCCAGGTTCTGGGTTCAACTTCCAGCAACACACACACACACACACACACACACACACACACACACACACACACACCAACACCCCCCAACAGAATTTAGCATATTCTAGTACAGAATCACTGAAACAATTCTTACTTGTGAATAATTTAGTTTTGCTGAAAGTGTTAACACCTTTCAATAGGTGAGGTTAGCTAGACCTTGTTTTAATTTTTTGATTTCTTTATTATTTTGTGTTAGTGTTTTGCCTACATGTCCATAAATGCAATGCCCATGGAGACCACAAGAGGGTGTCAGATCCCCTGAAACTGGAGTTATGAGTGGTTATTAGCTGCCAGTGGATGCTGGGAATTGAACCTAGGTACTTTGCAAGAGCAGTCAGTGCCTTTAACTGCTTAGCCATTCCACCAGCTCCCAGTTAGACTTTTTAATACCCCCAAGTATTTCTTATGGGCGTGTATATGTGTGTTGTTTGCATGTGTGTGTGTGTGTGTGTGTGTGTGTGTGTGTGTGTGTGTGAAGTGGCAGTGGCCTGTGTGTGCATGCATAGAAGTCAGAGGTGGGCTTTGTCGCAATCTGTCTTTATCATTCTCCATCCTATTTTTTGAGACAAGGTCTCTCATTGAACCTGGAATTCACTGTGTTTTTTGGCTAAAGTAGTTGACCTGTAAGCCCCTGAGATCCACCTGTCTTTGCCCTCTGCCTCTCACTCACCCAGAGCTGGAGTTATAGACTCAGGTTATCACACCTGGGTTTTTTTGTGTGGTTGTTGGGGGATTAGAATTCAGGTCCTCATCCTTGTACAGTAAGCACTTTACTCACTGAGTCATTTCTCTAGCTTCTTTTATATATTCTTTATTTAGAATGAAAATAAAAGAGATCATATCCATAGAGAGAATTTTAAAATTCAATTACTATCACTTTTACATAATCCTTCCTAAATCTCCAGGAAAATCCATGAAGAGTAAATAACACAGAAAGCAAAACACTGCAATGGCAGTGGGAATAAAAGGCACTAATCAATACATATGATGTGCAATTCCAGTGAGGGTTGGAAAAAGAAAGTAGGAAAACAGCTACACATACAATGAATTCTGCACGCTGTTGGAAAAGAAGGTCAAAAAGGAGGCAGTCGTGGCAATGATAAACCCACTCAGGCTAGAAAGCAGCAGTGCTGTGAGGAAAAAATGACTGTGTGGTTAGTGTGCCAATCTTCCCACCAAGCTCCACACTGTCTTCCAGAAACTTTGCTCTGTGCTCAGTCCATTATTCCTTCTAAAGAAACTTAGAGGAACCTACAGCAGGTGGGGCTTATTGGAACAGAAAGGCAAGCTGCTGGCTACACAACAGTCCCAAGAGTCTCTCTTGAAATTTAGTCTAAAAGACACAGAAACTACTAGTGGACTAAAGAATCAAAAGGTTACACTGTCACCAATATAGAACTGGGAAAGGTGCTTTAACAGAGAAAATTAGGCACAGGAGACTGTGCTGTTGCTAGATAAGAGATACAGGGAAAGTCCTGTTTCCTGATTTGTTGATTCCAACCCACACAAAGCTGGGCTGCACTTAGTTTCCTGTCCTTGATGTGTGTGGAATTCTCTGTTGTGGTAACACATTGTACTAATTTTTAATGAATTACTTTCTTTCAACAAAAAGAACTTTTACTAGAATAGAAAACAAACAGATTTATAAAGGTATGTTGGGTGCCAAAATATAGAAAACCTTAAGCAGTGTTAAGGAATTAACACTTTATTACTTTATTATTTGGCAATGGTTAATCATTGAAACTAAAACACACACACACACACACACACACACACACACACTCACACAAACATAGCCAGCTTTCCTTAAGAATATAATTAACATGGGCTAAGCTCTGTTTGAAGACTTTAAAAAAAATTTATTTATTATTTGTATTTTATGTGTATAAGTACATTGCCTGCATGTATGTGAGTGCACTAGTGTCGGGCAATGCTGTGGAGGTCAGAAGAGGGCATCAGATTCCCTTGGAACTGGAGTTAAGGACAGTTTGTAGCCACCATGTGGGTGCTGGGAATCAAACCCAGGTCCTCAGCAAGAGCAGTCAGTGCTCTTAACCTCTGAGCCATCTCTCCAGCCCCAGTTTGAAGACTTTTATGATTGTCATCCTAAGAACTGTATGAGTCAGGTTACAATACTACCTCTATTTGACTCTATAAGTAAACAAAAATATACACAATTAAAAGAGAAAAACTCATGCTCTCTACACTAAATTAACCAATATAATTGCATTAATACTCACATACTCTAAACTATTTTCTATTTCAGAGAATGAATTATTACTTAAAAGAGAAAAAGGGTATCACAGAGTAGGTAAAGATATGTACATTAATATATCTAACAAAAGACACTTGTAATCTATAATATAAAAAAATCTCTAAAGTCCATACAAAAGACCACAAAGTGTCCTGCAAGCATGAATGTTTTTATTTATAGATTTAGTTTTATTATCAGATATCAGGATATTCAGACCTCCTCCTTTGTTTTAATTTTTGTAAGAGCTACTTTTTCAAAGAATTTGCTCAGTTTCATCTATTCTTAAAATTTATCAATATAAAGTTATTCACAATATCCTCATAGGATTTTTAATGTTGATGGGATATATGGAGTTGGCTCCTTTATTCCTTTCTAAAATTAAAAAAAAATGGGACTGGAGAGATGGCTCAGTAATTAAGAGTGCTGGCTGTTCTTGCAGAAAACCTTGGTTCGAATCCCAGCACCCACATGATGGCTAACAATCATCCATAACTGCAATTCCATGGGATCCAACACGAGGCTCTTTTTATAACTTTCTACTTCTCCCTCTCTCCCCTCCACCTCCTCCCATGTTCTTCCTCATTTTGATACTGATATTTTTTATTTATTTACTTCATTTTATGTGTACAAGTGTTTTGCTACATGTTTGTAAGTGTACCATGTGTGTACAATGCCCAAATAGGCCAGAAGAGGATGTCAGACTCACTGGAACTGGAGTTACAGATGGTTGTTAGCCACCGTTTGGGTGCTGGGAACCAAACCAGGGTTCTCTGCAAGAGCAGCCAGTGCTCTTAACCACTGAGCCATTTCTTCACCCTATTGATGCTGATATCTTTTTCTTCTTGAAGAGATCTGTTGAAAGTTATTATTTGTATTCATCTTTAAAAATTAGCTTTTGGGTTATTATTCTATTATATATTTGTTTCAATATTATTGAAATTTTCCTTTTTATTATTTCTTTCCTTCCACTTTCTTTTTGGTAGTTTGCTGAGATGAAATCTTTGATCACTGATTTCTAGCATTTATTTATTTTTTTTAACATTCACAAAAGGCTATTTAAGCCTATTTTCCTTAAAGCAAGTTTTTAATATATATATTTTTTCCCACTTTCAAGCCCATCAGTTTCTGTTTCTCTAGCCCTGAGAAACAAAAAGCCACTCCCCTATTTACCACTTTCTGCCTAGCCTTTTTAAAATCTATGATGTGAATAGATCTCAGGTTGAAAACAAGATGAATGTTGGGCTCACAACCCTTTTATGCAGTATTGTGACCACTCAAGTTCTCATGCCCCAAGCCTTCTCTTACAGCCTGAATTTGTTATTTTGTGTATTTTACTCAAACTTTATAGTTGTTTTTGGCCGAAAAGTACCTCAGTTATGAGTTATTTTGTTTTCATTGGAATCAGAAATGGAATCTTTTACCTTCAAAATAATTTCCTTTTTATACTCCAGCTATTCCCTTCTAATTAGACTTTCTGCTTCTTCTCTTCCCTTTTATATACATTCCATATGGCACTGAGTTTATCTGCTAAAAATGTAAGTCAGATTACAGGACTATCTTCTTTTTTAAAAAAATGTTTTATTTATTATTTTATTTTATGTGTACGAGTGTATTGCTTGCATGTACGTAAGTGCACCCATGTCGTGCAATGCCGCGGACGTCAGAAGAGAGCTTCGGGTTTCCCTGGAACTGTAGTTAAGGACGGTTCGTAGCCACCATGTAGGGGCTGGAAATCGAACCTGGGTCCTCTGCAAGAGCAGTCAGTGCTCTTAACTGCTGAGCCATCTCTCCAGCCCCTATCTTCTTTTTTAAAAAAGAAAAAAAAAAAAGAAAAGAAACTCTCAGATTTCCCTTCATTCTCCTAGGAGAGTCATCCAAACTCTCAATCATGACTGTATCTTCTATTCTATATTTGCTTACTCTGTT